ACAGTTGGGAGCTGAGCCCAAGCTATATTATATCTTTAAATGCGACATACCATATGTGGGGTATAGTGGCAATCATTAGTGTAATAACCAAAGTTGGGCATCTTTAAGAGACAGCTAGCTTTTAGTTTAATCAAACATTAAGTATTTTAATCTTGTATTAAATGTCAAACCTTAATAAAATTTTAGTATACAGTTATCAAAGAAAAAAAAATATATATATAGTTAAAATTAAAGATTAATTTTTAATTTAAACTATAAATTTGTAAACCAAATTATATATTAAAATTTAATTTTAACTATAATTTATAAGTTGAATTAAGATAATTAATTTTTTTTTTTTTAACAATTTGGCAATTTTGCCAATACTTTATTAGGTTAAAATATTTAACTTATAGGTAAAATATCATTTTCTGCTAAAGTTATCTAAAGCACTATCTAAGTTATAAGTATTAGCTAATCTGGCTTTTTGTAATACTGAAATATCCAAATCATCCATGTTTGATTTGCTATAGTAAAGTTTATCTCTATATCAAAAAACCTTGCAAGTAAATTCTTTGATACTTTACTGAATAGTATTTACAGCCTATCAAGACTGCCATTTTTTTTAAACTTTTTTTTCTAGTTTTGTAAGCAAAAAGATTCATAGTTCCCAACTGATTTATAAAATAAAACTAATACTAAAAAGATAAAGAGAACAACATAAAAGAGAGAAATAAAAAAAACTGTCTAAACAACAAGAAAATAAAAAAAAAAGAAACAAATGAAACAAGAAGAAAAAAGCAATAAAAAACAATCTATAAAAGCACTATTATAGTCTGTGCCAAGTACAAGTTGTAAAAATTATATACTAAATTTAAAAATCTTGTATATTTTTGTTGTAAAGCTAAGCTTTATTATTAAAAGTTTTTTTCGACTTTACTATCTGGTCCGGTTCGGTTCATTAACTAGAGTACTGATTGGTTTATCATGTAGTGTAGGTTATTATTGCCAAAACAATCCTGTGTTTATGTCCTACTTCATTTATCCAAAAATGGAAGGTGTAAACAATGCTGATCTTTTAGAAGGGATAAGCTGAAATGCACACTTTTTGTCAAAAATTTTGGTGAGGTCAGCAAAATATAAGAGAGAGAGAAAAATACTTGAAACTACTTGAAGAAGTATAGATAGATTTTTTCTTTTTATTAAAATCAATATTCACACCAGAGTCTGCATAATATTTAGTCTTTTTGGTAAGTGATAAACTCTAGATTTGTTAACAAGTAGTATATGAGAATTACTTCTAAATGACAAGTGCTGTGCTTGCAGTAAGTAATAAACTCTAAAGCTATTAGCAAGATAGCATATGAGAACTACCTCTAAATAACAGCTACTAATTTAGAGTTCCTTTTCTCATGTTTTATGTTCAAACTCTACAAGTTTTACACTAGTGTATTGTATTTTTTTTTAGTAAAAAGTTTTTGAAAAATTGTGATCCAAATGATTATTAAAAAGAGTTGCTTATTGTTTGATAATCAATTTTTAATTTCATATACTGAATTAAAGCTAAACATAATATTTGGCCTAATTAAATCTTGATTGTTCAACTAGTATATAGGTGATAATTATCTATAGTGTAAATTAGAAATTTTCTAAATTTTAATAAATAAAAAAACCTATAAGCTATAACTTTGATCAAATTTGCAAATTATTAGCTACTGTAGTTTAAAATCAAATAATTTCAAACCAAACTAAATAATCTGCAAACTTGATCAAAGTTATAGTTTATAAATTTTTTATTTATCAATTTTCACAAATTTGCTAATATGCAATATTTTCAAATTAAAAACTCAAATTTTAGTATTATTTTAAGCTTATAAGGCGGCATTCATAATTTACATTAAACCAGTATTGTTAAAAGATAATGCAAAAATAATATTATCAAGATCCTATTTCTATACAATACAGTACTGGTTTACCATAAACTAGGAAAATGCGTAGCATTGTTAGATCCGGAGCATATCATATGATGATCATCTCATTACACAAACGCGTGAATATGCATGTTTTGTTACACTAATTTAACAAATTTGAACACGCGTGCGGACAGATTTCTGATATGATCTTCATAATGTTTATGCAGATGCATCAAAAAAGCAACTTTTTGGGGGTGAAATGCATCAAAAACGTAATTTTTGTATCACTTAATACGTAAAAATTGAGTGTCCGTCGCTACGCTCCGGCCAATAATAATACAATATAATAATAATAATAATAATATAATACTCATCACGGCGAATTTATGAAACTCGGGTACCTTGACTAACTATGAAGTGCGTCATTTACTATTTGTTTTTTGACATTTCTTATTGTAAAATCATATAGATAACGTCTAACCCATCTTCCCGTAAAAAGATGGGTTAGACGTTATCTATATTATTTTACAATAAGAAATGTCAAAAACAAATAGTAAATGACGCACTTCATAGTCTAGTCAAGGTACCCGAGTTTCATAAATTCGCCGCAATGTAACTAATACTATACTAATAAATATATAATAATACAAATATTCAAATATAATTTAACTATTCTATACTATTGTCACACTGTGTTACAACCTGTTTTGTAACACCAGTAAGAAATTTTTTGAATGCTCCAATCTGGTTTTAGATGAATGCAAAGAGTGAGTTCTTTCAAAATTATTGTTGAATTATCTTTATCCAACATACATCAGACCAACAGCATATATGATTATTTTGTAGATGATCAATAAGTCCATCTACCTGCATTTTTCATGTTTTATCTTCAGATAGTGCACAAGGATCTTTGGCTTCTTTTTACAAAGCTGCAAAATAGATACAACCATAGTACCAACATATTATATGATCTTCAAATGCTTGAAACTGTGTTTTTTTTTTGTCATCTACAGTAATTATAATAAAAATTTAAAGATATTTCATCATTGATACTTTAATTTGCAAACATGTTTATGTTACACTGTATAAGGAATTTCTAATACATTTAGTTGAATGTTTAAGATCAGCAAAGATTCTTGTTACTATAGTAATGTGTTTAAGTGTTTTATTTGAATCTAGATTGCCATCTACATATACTTCTAAGTGCATATCTGCATCCTCTAACGGTTTGCTAATTTGATTTATTAACTCAATCAAAATAGCATGCTCTATTTGTCTTGAGGATTTGTCAAAATTGCTTTCATTAAGAATTTTGGTAAGTCCAGTTTTGTTGACTTTCGCAATTCTTGCTTTTTGCACAATATAAAATGCAATAACCGGTTTATGGGAATAATCTAATGAATTAATTGTGGGTTAAATTTAGCCAGTTAGATTTTATCACGTGATAAAATTTTATTGGAAAAAAATATACTTACTTTGCGGGACACTAAGACTTGAATTCGAAAAGCTTTAACAATTCTACATGGTCTAAAATAATGTGATCGAAATGATAATGATACGTACGTAAAAATTTTTTTAAATATTTATATAGATATATACGATTAAATAAAATAAAATTAAAATTGAACAAATTGGTATTGAACTGGAATTGGACTATATCCAATGCCAATGGTTTCAATATGTAATGGAATATTTTGGAGTCCGAATTCCAATAGTCCAATAATTCAATAAAATTTTATTGATCATTGCCCAATGCCAACACTGATCCTTAGCGTTAGATAATTAAAATTTTACATATTAATTTATTGTTCAGTTGCTAGCACATTTACATGGTATTTAACGTTTCGACTTTAACATTTTAGCGCGTTTATCACGCTTTGATTTTACAGCTTTTTCGCGTTTTCGTTTGTTGTTTGTCTCTGAAGTTTCACCTTGTTCCTTTGTAACAAGTTTAGATTTTTGTTTCTCTAGTTTGGACTGAAACCAAGTCCGAGCAGGTTTACTAAATATCTCTGTTTCATGTGTCAAAATATTTTTATTTTTTTGTACTTCCATTTCTGCAAGACGCATAGCTTTTTCTTCTTTTTCTTCTTCAATGACTTCTTTAATTTGATTTTTTAATTTATTAAGTTTCTCGCGATATTTTGCAATGATCTTCGCATCGATAGTACGTCGCCTGATTTGACTTTTAGTTGCATGTTTGATCACTTTCTTTAAAAGCTTACGATCTGCTTCACATGTGAAAGTTACAGACCTATAAATTATGATAGCAATTCAATTAATGTAAAAATATTGATAAAACCATAATAATAATAATAATGATAATGATAATACCGTCCGTCACGTCCTGCACGGGCTGTTCGGCCGACACGATGTATATATTGCTCATAACTTTGTGGCATATCGTAATTTATAACAGTTTCAATGCCTTTAATATCCAAACCTCGTGATGCCAAATTGGTAGCTAAGAGAAAATCTACTTTGCCATCACGGAAAGCCTCAAGAGCCTCCATGCGCTATATACGCACCGAATAAAGAAGCATATTAAAGATGATGGAAATTAATTATAATATAATTTAAAACTTAATTTCTTACTCGCTCTTGGGATAAATTTCCATGTAATTCTGCAGCCTTCAAATCCAAAAGGCCAAAAATTATCTTCATTTCATGAGCAATAGCTTTACTTTTGAAGAAAATTATAACTTTACGACGAAATGTCTTTTTGCATAATGCAACTAACATAGAAGGTCTATCTTCTTCACGATGTTTTCTTATGCGAATAAATTCCTGTATGAGTCTTACCGCAGTTGCCTTTGTTGGATCGATCATTAGTCGTACCGGTCGATTCAGTGAAAGACGAATTAGTTCATCGACATTATCTGTCATGGTGGCAGAAAAAAGCATTGTCTGCCTTGATTTTGGACAATTCTTTACAATCTCGTTTAACTCTGCAGAGAATCCATCTTCCAACATCCTTAAAACAATGGTCATAGGATAATTAAATCATCGTATTAAAGAAACGTAATTACAAAAATTAACATAACCTTTCATACCGATCGGCTTCATCTATTATCAAAATTTCAATAGTGTCCAGAGTAAATGAAGGTGAATTTCGCACATGATCGATCAGTCGCCCTGGAGTAGCAATAATGATATCAGGACGTGTACGAAGTTCTGCTTCTTGTTTTTTGAGATTTAATCCCCCTAATAACAATTAGTACCAGTTTCGAAGAGACGTGTTATAAATAAAACCATAAGAACATAACATAAATCACATAATGGACTTGATAACTAACCAATGCATAGACAAAGTGTTGTGTCTGTGAATGATGCCAGTTTAGTTGCGACACTATGGCATTGAATTGCTAGCTCACGAGTTGGTGTCAGAATAAGTACTCGTACAGAAGGAGTCTGTCTTGGTCTATATAATAAACGCTCCATTACAGGAACCAAAAATGCAGCAGTTTTTCCGGAACCGGTAATAGCACCACCACAAATGTCCCTACCCATAAGAGCTATGGGAATTGTTTGTTTTTGAATTGGGGTAGGCTGTATGAATCCTAATTGACTAAGACCTTTAAGAATAGGTCGAGAAAGATTCATCGTCTGAAATGATTCAGCGATGTTGTAATTAATCGTCTCAGACTCGTCCGCAAAATATTCTTTCTTTCTCTATGAACATGAAAAATATAGGATTAAATATTTATGAAATTTATGCATGCCAAAACAAAATTAGTATAATACATTATATTAATTTATATAGTGTATAACACTACATTTGTATAATTCTATTAATATACATCTAAGAGTATTAATAAAAATAATATAAACCTGTTTTTCATATTCATTTTCACTACTACTTTCACTATTGGAATCATTCTCACGATCTTTGTTGCTGTTCAAGTATTCCTCTGTACTACTTTCCCCTTGATCGTCATCATCTTCGTCATCATAAATATCACATTGGATGCCGGCACCGAAGCTATCAGCATCTAAATGACGATTAACAAAAGTGTGAGAAATTAACATGAAATTTAAGATTATAAATAAATACCAATATCATCATCATCATCATCATCCACAAGCTCAATTCCATCAACTTCATCATCATTTTCCGAAGAAGTATTATTGTCATTGTCTTCATTGAATATTTTCGGAGATTTATCATGATCGATTACTAGTGAACCATAAGTTTATTAAATTTAACACCTTATAAAAAAAATATATTCAGAACTATAAAAATATACCTTTTTTGGAATTACTTTGTCCATTCGTTTTTAAGTTTGAGTTTAGTAATGATTTTACTTCATTACGCTTGTTTGTAATTATTTCGTCAATCGTCTTTGAAGGAGTCTTTTTTAATTGTTATACAGTAAATATTAAATTCTAATCGATTCTATCAGGTTCAATTAGTTGTCAACAAAGTTCAAAAAATCCTCACAGTAAGTTTGGGTTTTAATCCAGCCTTAGCTGCCACAAAATCCCAGCCTTCGTCAACATAAAAATTGTCGTCGCCCACATAAAACGAGAAATCAGGATTTATATCATTTTTTTTTAATGAGGTATCTTCGTTCAAAACTTTTTTATTATCAATTTTTTTTTGTTTTTTTGAATTCTTATTCTTTTTGTGTGGTAGGCTACTATCAGTTTCCTCATTTTCCTCGTTCTCCTCTTTGTTATATGCATTAATCTCTACGTCGTCCTCAATTGTCATTACAAAGTCATCCATTGTTCATACGTGCGTACGTATATGCAAGCGATAAAAATCGAGATTATCGGAAGTTCGCACAACGTCTAATTATAAGTAAAAATATGTTGAATTCGATTGGTTGATGCACATGCATGTCCTTGATCAATCTTTATCATGTGATTTTATTACTAAGCCGGTTCGGTTAAATAGATTTTACAATACTGCAATATCGATATCGATTGATCGTTAAGAACTCGACTACAATGGAGCATCAAAACACGATTTCGTCAATTTATTCTGCTCTGGAAAATGTACCTCTTATTTTGGCACCACAGTACTCCGCATTACAACCGGTAATCCTAAACTTCTTTATTAGACGTCGCCGACTTAAATTTTAACACGATCTAAATTTTTACAGGTAACAATGCCTCATGATTTTACACTTGATCTACCTCCTGTGGTAAGCATTCAAATGACTCTATAAACTTTTAACAAATATCATTTCTATCTTTTTTTTTTTATATTATTAATTCTATTTAACCATTAAGAATAAGTATGACTTTAATCTTGAACGTCATATTATCGCTGATTCAGAACGATTTAGACAGGAAAATGCCGCTTTGATGCAAATACGAGCCCAGAAGTTACAAGCTCTTCAGGATGCACGCATTCGCAAGCAAAAAGAGGAAGCCAGAAAAATAGCTCCTGGATTCTTGGATACAGATCGAAGACTTTTAACTCCCGTGCCAATGCACACATCATCTAAGCGAACCAGTCAGCAAGTAGAAAATGGTAATACTGCACCCATTGGTGGTGAAGTTAGCAATGACAATCAGAAAGTGTTGCACGGGCGTTCTGCATCAGATGAATTACCAAATCATGTTGTGGAGCGAATGAAATTGAAGGAAGAGGGTGATGTAGAAGAGGTAAATAATGAGATCATAGTGTGCATATATTATATTAAAACTACATATGATTTATTAAACTTTTCAATTCCTTTTTTATTATTATTTTCGATCGTGGCGATACGGTCTGGCGCAGAGCAAACTTGCCAAATCATTGGTTTATCTCGAATTTGAGGAGAGTCTTCCCTCACACAATTCGTCGGATCCTCCAAATACGATACAAAATGAAATAGCAATATTGCAGGGAGTAATCAGACCTTCAGTACCGTCCACATCACAAAATGAAGTAAAAAATTTCGTTTCAAACGGACTTACCATGTCTCAAACTACTACTGGATTGCATATGGGTCCAGAAGTATCACTGGCTCCTTCTACTAATTTTAACATGTTCCACATATCACCGAGATTACAGCCAGTAATGGCTCCTCCTGTACAACAGCAACCACAGCCATTTACTTTAGGGTCATCTTTACCAAATCATAGCAGTCCTGAAAAATTTATATCACAAAATTTAGCTAATATGCGTATATCTCCTCCAAATACTGCAAATGCTTATACATCACCTTTAAGTTCCATGAGTGCTCGCAATATTTCTGCCCCTAACCTTCAAGGTGAAATGCAAAGAGTCTATACTTCTCCTTCATATTCTTACGAAAGACGTCCCTCACATCAGTCACATATTATTCCTCCTACTCTTCCTACCCGGCCTCCAAAAGAGGCGTTATCCTCGTCACCTTCAACTTCCCATATTGAAGAGGAAAGTGATGTTGATGAAAATGATACAAATAGTGAAATGATCAAACAATTTATAAATATGGGATTTTCAAAAGCGCAAGCTATTGATGCGTTGGAAAAGTTTGATTATGATCCTCATCAAGCAACAAATTATTTATTGGATTTACAATAAGATATTTTATTCAAAGTGCTGTTAAAAATATTAATATATATATATATTATATTAGAAGTTTTAATAATTTTTTTTAAAAATTTTAAATAAAGATATTTTGACTAATAATTTTTTGTTATTTTAATTAACTTTACGGTTTATAAGCTATTATCATAATTCTTGAAACACCTGATAAAAATTAGCCGAATGATTTTCGGCCGATTCGGTTAAGTTATAGATTTCGGGAATAATAAGATTCAGTAACAGATATCAGATACGTAATTTAATATGTACAATAAGACTAAATATCGACATGCACTTGTAAGTTGTAAATTTCAATTCCTCTCTTTGGCACGATCCATTTTCGCTCAAAAATGAAGCCTTTATTCATTTCTAATTATTTTCGACGAAAATTTGGTTTAATTCCTATTCTTTAGCAAGATCTATTTTCATTCAAACGAACGAAGCCTTTATTTATTTCTAATTATTTTTCATTTCTTGTCGAAGACGAAAAATTAGTTTTTAAAAA